CCAGAATAATTTTCAGAATAAAATCAACATATAATCCATAGAGATAAGAAATCAATCAATGATGATATAATAATTAAATTTTAAGATTCGGAACAAGATCAATTGATCCATTACAAAATAAAATACCTGAGTGTCGTTCCGCTAGGGACAACCGTAGTTTGTTGTTTTCCTCGGTAACGACGCCACTTGTCGAGCATATCGGCTCCCACGTTTTTGGCGAAGGCGAGAGCCCTCCTGGCCATGTCACGCAGGAGTCAAACGAAAACAAAAACAGAGACAACTTGGGAACGACATTTCACAACCCCGCGTGCCGCCGAGACGGTCGTGGTCGCGTCGTCCCGTCGCCGCTCTAGCCGGGTGCGCCAGCTGTACATCCCACGATCCCCTACGACAGGATAGGTTCCCGCGGGGCATAAGCTTCCCTTCCCTAAGGGGCTGTTACCACCCTTAGGGGCGTATCCCTACTGAGCTACTGACCCACGTGCGAAAGTTTTTACATGCAATCGCAGAGGTAGATCAGCCGAGGGCGTTTGCTCGTTCGCTATAGTATAGACACGCTTGGTTAACGCCAAGCGAACCCGAACGTTGTCCATTCCTAGGGCGCTGATCTCCTAGGTATGGAGCAAACGTCAGTTGACTWGGACGGTCTCAACCAAGCGTGAAACCCAACTTTAAGCCTAGTCCCTTAGACAMATAGTCCAAAGAAAATTATAAYAACCATACATAATTACATCAAACGCATTCCACCGTAGTCGATAGAAATAAATATTCAGTCTGAAATGACAACTAAAAGAATTTGAAACCATCATTAGGTACATTCAACAACACAAGATCAAAAACAATCTGACCATCTCAGGTCGAACGACACAAAACAATCATAACCGCCAACAAGAAGTTGGTTACCGACAGTAGCATTGATGCAGCCGACAAGATAATCAACTGCCTTAGTTTTGACTTAATGAAACGCGTTGCCAAAGTCATTCAKTTCACCSCACTGCTGACCTWAGAKTAGACACRCACACATCCATCTCCWTACATTCCTAAATMTTCTTGGATAACTAACTGCCTTGCAAATGATTCTTGATYAGGTGCATTGCTTGAAGTGTTGCATATCTCATCCTCTAGGAAGTGGTATGGGGTACTCCTCCTCGCCCGAGCACAAAACTCGGATCTGAGAAGTCGGCCCGTCTCCACCGAATCGGCAAGCAGCCCCCCCGTAGAACGGTCGACTCTGGGTCGATAACAGGGCCGGTTCCCGAAGCAACGAACCCCTGCCCCAGATGCTTCCTAGCGAAAGAGAATATGTCCACTGTAAGTAGTTCCCATTTTCGCACGTTCCTGCAGCTTGGACAAAAGCGAAGCATTGCCATTTATATCCGTTACTCCCGGACGCCACACGGGTCCGGACTAAAGTTCAAAAATGTTTAGTCTCTCAGTCATAGGTCAGGTTTGAATAAGCTTTTGGCAACGTCAGTCTCATCAGGCTCTTCAATCCAACGAAAGAGTCGGACAACATCACGTTAAAAAAAACCGGCAAATACCCTTGTCAGGGTATTTGCCCCGACAACGGTACTTGCTTGACTGGACTAGGACTGACTGGGACTGGGACTGCTGACTCCACCACTTGCTCACTTGCCTCAGCCTAAACGTGAGCAGCTTCGAAAGACAAGTTCCAGGACCTTTCGGAAGTTTCAGTCCTGGCCTTTCGAATACTGTAGCAGCTAGGACCTTGACCTTTCAGGACTGTAGCAGCTACGACCTTGACCTTTCGGAGGTCCTACAACTACGACTTCTACAACTCCCAAAGACCACTATTCGACAGGTCTACAGATCAAGCCCCTATAACCTACGGACCCTACAACAGGCTACCAACTATTACGAATACACGGGTCGCGGTTTCAATTCTCGGGGGCGACACAGGTGATGTACACAGGTAGGGTGAAGTCTAGGGATCGAGCCCTGGGATCTGCATTCGCTACTGCGAACCGGTGAATACCGTTTGATCTTTGACTAGATGAAAAACTAGAACTCTGGGGAACCACCACTACTTCTGAGCCTGTTTTTGCCGAATCTGAATTTTCACTGCGCACCGAGTTTTGGCGAGCTTGGGCCCGATTGTATTTTCGTTTCTGGTATTCTCAATTGTGGTCCTACGCAGACGCGCTGACTTGGAACCTTGCCTGCTAGCATGTCCGATGGCGGTGCAGGTGTGGCAATGGTGGGATGCATTGTGGCATGACATAACAGAATCAACTTTCCAGTGGAACATTGCTCTTATTCTCCTGGGCAAACGCGCGGATTATCCGATAGGGTGGTCACTTTTTCAAGGCAACCTCTTCAAACACATGAGGCTTTCCCTCCTCATGGTAATATGGAGAATAAGGTGCTCAGCTGAAAGGTAAGACGCTGCCTTTGGCTTCAACCGAGCCAAATCCGAACTAGCAGAGGTCATCCGGGCTAACATGCTGAAAGCCAGCAAAAAACTGGCAGAGATTATGGCAACGATCCCTGCCCAAGAGGCCAGGCAGAAAATACTACAGACTTTCGTGGAAAATTGGATCGACCCACACCATAAACTGGCCGAGGTGTAGGATAACGGAAAGATACTGTGGAAAAACTGGATGGCACAGGACCACCGCTGGATTTATAGATCGGCAGAATGCTTCCCTACGCCACTGCCAGGTCGGACTACAGGCACATTGGCAGAAGGGAGCCTGAGTGCCTGGGGATGGGATCAGATCCCGCACGGTTGATCCTGCCCCTCTGGGCCCTGGCCCTTCCGCCTCCCCCCTGCCATGGACCTCCCCTCTTCCGCCCTTCCCACCCACACCTTTTCCCTCGCCCCCTCCCCCCCTCCCGCTTGCCTCCCCCCCCCCCCCCCCCCCCCCCCCCCCCCCCCCCCCCCCCCCCCCCCCCCCGCCCCCCCCCAATCGACCACCCTCCCCCCCCACCCTCTCCGCCCCCTTCCCTTCCGACGACCTCCCCACCCCGCATTCCGTCGCCCCCCTCCTCCGTCCCCTCTGCCTCCCCTGCCGACAAAACTTCCTCCCCTCACGCTCTCGGCCCTTCCCTCCCTGTCTGCCCTGCTCCCCACCTCCGTCTGCCCCCCCCCTCCCGGATCCCCGACTCTCCCCACCGGGCGGCCGGCCGACTCACATCGTATGCACATCAGCAACTTCCAGCGACGACAGACGACAATGTCACAGCATCTTCTCAGTATCTGATCTCCGTCTGCCCCCCCCCTCCCCAGATCCCCGACTCTCCCCACTGAGCAGCCGGCCGACTCACATCGTATGCACATCAGCTACTTCCAGCGACGACAGATGACAATGTCACAGCAGCTTCTCAGTATCTGATCGATGACAATATGGCCACCCTGCGCCGAGCAGCAACGGTGGTGAGTACGGCTCCCGCCCAGTACAGGGGCTGGGAGACCCGTGCTGACCACACGAACTCAGAACAACATAGCCAAGGGGTAGATCGCTGTAAATGGGACCAATAAAAGCAGCAGCGGGGTTCCGAAGGGAAGTAGGCAAGGAAACAGAGTACGGGACAGGGAGGATGCTGGAAATGGCGACACAGTCAGCCCCCCGTCTCACAATGGTCTAATCTGCTTACCCGGTCAGGCAGTTGCACGGGCATAATCTCTCCTTACTGATCCGGCTTCTATCGCTCTGCATTGCATTGCATTGCTTTGCATCACATTCCACCCATGGCAGATCTTCAGGCTCCAAAGATTACGAATGTCACGCAAAGGTTTAGTGAGGGCTTAGAGCTTAAAGGGCATCAAGGGATGGACAGGGCAACAACGAACAGGGGGGCTGCTGAACAGGGCTGGGCTAATAGATCAGCGTGCTCCTAGATGGGTTGGGTGTTACTTGCAGCTCCATGGGGCTATCAGAGCCCTGGGCAGACAAGAGAAATGACTTTAGCCCCAGAAGCAACAGACAACAATCCCCATGATTCATGATATACCAATGGGAGGCTGAACCCGGTTTTCAGCAGGTGCCACTCCCCACCAATAGATGGAGCAGCCCAACAGATAAGCCCGCAATTCAGACGGTTCTCTTACCACCAGGGGGATGGAGGGCTTACACGGGCTTTTTCGTAAAGAAAAAAGGAAAAAAAAAAAGAAACTGAATTCATCGTGGCAGTTGCATCCAAAAAAGAACGAAAGAAAAGAAAAAAGAAAGAATGCTTTGGACACGATAGCGTTGAATACATTCGCAGAAGTACGTGCGTGAGTATGCCCAGTGGGGCAGTCAGATCCACGAGAGAAGAAAAATAAAAAAAAGTTGAAACTGCTCTGTAGCCAGTAAAGCAGTTGGATACAGTCCCAGAAGTAGCAGTGTGAGCATGCCCTCTGTGAGGGTGTCAAAACAATCCGTGGAATGCGCCCTGCCTTGCTGTGGTCATACGGGTAAACGCTTGCTTACTCGACCCCTCACTGCTTGGACAGAAGACCGCCGCCTGCAAAACCCCATTTGAACACGGCATCAGCTGTTGCTCAGAACCATGAATGGGGTCCGGGAATCTCAATGAGAGTCACGGGTGCACAAAATGACATCATGGTGGGGTTTGTCGCTGAAAGGACAAAGAGCTGGAGTTTCCCTGTTCCCGTGCGGCTCCCTAATAGTATTGCATCTTGTTTGCTGTTGATGCGGATAGATGGGTGTGATGGAGCTTGTCTTGCAGGGCATGTGGGGGTGCCCAGAGTGATATCACAATAGATTCCCCTTGTTGAAAAAAAAGAGTGAACAGGGTTCGGGAAGGGGAGGGGCGGGGAGGGGTATACAGACTCATTACCAAGAACTTCCGACCTCCAACTTTTTCTGATTGCTATGGACCCATAGTACGAGGGTGGTGGGTTCATGGTTGAAAGGAGCGATTCTTATTCTTTCCCCATAATTCCCATGCTTTCCCCTATTAGTGATATAGTATGAGACTTTATTGTTGTTTGACGCCAACAGATCGATGGTGTGATGGGTTTTGTCTTGCAGGGCGTTCACACATTCGTATCAATTGCGGTGGACTACCGACAAACGACTCCCTTGGTCCATGGGAGGACGATGCACCTCTCATCATCAGTGGTGACAGTACGTCTCAAGGTTTTCCGGAAATAAACAGCTCGAACCCTCTGGCGAGTTATCGTCAGTTTGGAAATAGAGGAGGACAGTACCATGTCACAGTGAACGCAAGTGCGTACTACCGGGTTCAGCTTCTTTTCCTGTTCCGAAAGAACGAGACGATGGCGCAAGAGAAGATAGTTCAAGTCTCGATTCAAGGGCATGAAGGAGAATCCATTCCACGCTGGCTGGGTGCACCGGGCTTTAACCTGACAGTTTTCGACCTCGGGATGTTTGACGGGAATTTAAAGTTGTACGTGTCGGAATATGTTTTCTTCTGTGACTCCACAAATCTGTCCATCGCCCTCGGCCCTGCCGAGCCAGCGGGGATTGTCCTGCCGCGAGTCAGCGTGATCTATATCTGGGAGCTTGCAGATGGTGCGTCGGTGCTCCAAAACCAGATGATGGGGAAGGATGTCATGCTGATGACATGGTGTCGGCAAAACTGTGGAGGGCAATGGATTCGGGACTCAGAAGGGCATCTTTGGGAGGGGGATAGTGGAGCACCCGTGGAGAACTCGACTGTCTCTTTGACATCCCCGCAATCTTTTGCGGTGCAAACAAACGATACTCTCATAGATACCCAGTATCCTTGGGTTCCCCCTGATGTTTGGGCGACTGCGCGAATCTCGGCCCCTCGCACTTACATTGACTACAGTGTGAACCTGGACCAGGCGGAGCGTTACTTCCTGGCGCTGTACGTGGCACCTATGCCTGACCAGGGGGTGCCTGTACAGTCGCAACTCCTCCTTATCTCCACATTCCGGTCTTCGACACAGCAAATCAGCCGCACTGTGAATGTGCGAGAGATGGTCCTGCGCCCAATCCCTAGGGTGGATACGAAGCTCGAATTGGAGATAAGACTGGGTGGGAAGAATCCTAGCGACCATGCATGGATCAGCGGACTGGAAGTTATCAGGGTCATTCCTATGAAGGGCCTCACATTGGAAGCCGAAGGTATGCCGTCCAGTTTGCTAGAACAAGTATTGAATTAGAAAAAAGAAAATATGAAAATTTCAACAACTCTTCTTCTGTCAATCTGGCCATGACTCGCCTGTATAAAGTTTATCACTTCTTATTCGACCTGAGTAAGAAGGGCGTACTCAGCCGGGGACTTTTTCAAGTGAACTTGGCTGTGGATTGAGGTCAGGTACAGGTAGATCGAGGAAAGTCCTGGCGTTATTTGTTTCTTTGTTCCTTTTTTTTTTGGTTAGACGGAACTTGCACAACCACTACTCTTCTGAGTGTTGGGGAAAACGGTAAAACGTCCTACGCCGACGCCCTTCCTGCTTCTTCCCAGTCTGTTCCTACTACCTAGTCGTACGTCAAGAGGGTGAAGAAGTGCATTACCTTTTCTGCTCTTCTGCTCTCTCTCCTGGCTCCAAACAAAAGTATGCCTTTATCCCCTCAACCTATTGATCTGCAGTCATCAGCCTATCATTTGCCAATGTCAATACCACAGGCTCATCTAATTTCTGAGCTTTCATTTCAAGATGCAACTTTTTCGGGCCCTTACACAATATGTAACTCTTAGTTGATGATCCACTGTCTATTAGCGCACCCCATCCTAGGTCTATCTGCTAAGATTAGTTGCCCTATATCTTCTTTCTTCATTTTAGTCCAGGCTTTGTGACGAGTGATCAGCTCTTCGCTACGGCTGCAAGGGAACCACTCTGAAAGACTCTACAGCAAGAAGCCTCCAGGCAACTATCTCAAACCACACCAGTACTTGGCCCAGCTATCGGTTGCGGAAGGAAATAGAGTAGAAGCATTTCTAGTCGGATGAATTTGGCCGCTCCTGTAGTGGCCCATACGGTTCCTAAAGTGGTGGCTTGTTTACGGGCACAACTTCAGGAAGTACTGGTGGTTCAATGGGGGCCTACGCCTCTGCTGAACTGGACTGTGAGCAGGAGTGATTTCCATCAGCGAGCGCGTCTGCCTGTCTGTCAAAGCCCACAGCCCCAGTGGAATCAGCTGCAACTGCTACTGCCCACCCCGTTTTGCTGTTTGCTGCCTCTCAGTGAAAAAGGGGATGGTGTGGTTCTTGCCGGATTTGAAACGCAGACCCTCATCTCTTATGGGCCTCCACTGTGCTTCTGACATCCCTTCATTGTTATGACCCTGGCCAATTTCGAGATACACAACCACCGGAAAGTACAATGCCATCCAATTGCAGAAAGAAGTGAATGAACTTGAGAGGAGAGAGAGGATTAGAAGAAGAAGAAGAAGATGTACACCAGCAAAGACAATGACAAGGCTCTTCTTCTTCGCCCAACAATCTCCTCCTCCTTATCTCCCCCTTCTTTTCTTCATACAAGAAATAATAATACAATGTTGAATGACTGATCCAGAATCAATGTCCGAGTCCCTCTTCTACTGCAGGTATCACTTAAGGTCCACCATAGCCATGGCCGCCTCTCCCACTCTTCACTCTCATAGGCCGAGGCTATGGCGGACTACTGGGCTCYGCTCAGATGCCCAAAGGACAACCCAAAGCAGCTATGGCTGCTCTAGCTCAGGCCGCCAGCCTGACCCTGCCCCGAAGCTTCCTGGTGTAGCTCTCCCCAGCTGGGGACTCCCTGCTGCAGCGCCCACCAAGGGGATGAAGATGGATGCCACCATAGCCAGGTAAGTACCCCTGGTGATCCTCCCCCTTCCTTCTTCCTCCCTCGTGTCCTTCTCCTTCCTCCCCAGCAGCGCTGCTCCAGCTTAGCGCTGCTCCAGCCAGTGCTCCACCAGTGTGTCACCAAACTTGCACACCGAAAAAAGGGGCCGGACTCTCCGCCCGGCCCGAAGATATAGCGACCTTCTTTGCCTTTTGGGCGGTGACTTCCAGGCCGCTTGGCCTCACAAGCAACCGGTACCTCCTCCTTTTTGGAGGGAAACATCAATGCAGACTCTGATATTGCCCGTACAGGCCCTAGACTCAGACTGGTATCCGCCTAGACCTCACCTACACTACTGGGCCTCTAAAAATGCCACTTTTGTCTTTCTGCTTGGCCTCCGGTACCTGCACATCTACCCCTTCCAGGTGCGGTACCGGCCTACCCGCTACTTGAGTGCTTTTCCCCGCTGCAACCCCTCAATGTGACAGCCACAGGTAAGTACCGGCCCTGAGGGCCCAACGAATGAGCAAGTGCCCTGACGGGCCACACACATACTCATGCCAACCAGCACTCAGACAGGCACGGTCACACACACACCCAAGCCAACCAACACTCAGACAGGCATGGTCACAAACACACTCAAGCCATCCAGCACTCAGACAGACATGCAGTCCAGTAAGCGTGCACACACAGACTTAGTAGCAAGCGGGAAACTCAGCAGGGCATTCAGTCTATGGGCAAAACTCAGAAATCAGTTGTGTGTTTCAGTCCATGTATGGACGGGTCATCACACTACTCCCCCCTCGAGAGCGAGGTCCCTTCGAGCGAGTAACTCATTCTGAGTCCTCGACAAACACATCATAAGCGAGCAAGGCAAAGAGGTTCCTAGAGTGAGCCTTGCAGAGATCTTAGCTACAGCGTTAGTGGCGATTTGTCGCTCGTATGCTTTGACAACACGCGGTGCACTGCGCAGCAGTTCCTGTTTGGAAATCCAGTACAGATTGTCCAATGGGTCATACATAAAGTGAACCTGGTACTGTCTGTTGCGTCCCTTCCCTACGTGCTGTTTGATCCTGTCTATCTCATGCCCGCCTTTGATCGCGCGAGGGATCATATCTTCGCGATAATCGAATGTCTTAGCATCACGGTGGAGGTACAKTTTRGATGCGTGGAACACGGGGTATGTGCGCAGATSGGCTGGCACATCAACGACGTACGAAGGGCCAAAGTGATCTTCACCAATCACATCCAAAACTTCCCAGGGCCCATRATAGAKWGGGAGAAGTTTSCGTGAGACTCCCTCTTCTTCTGAGAATTCAGACATCTTGACCCAGACATAGCTTCCTACCTGAATATCCGACGGTCGGCGCTTCTTGTTCGCATGATGGAGCATGGCGTGTTGTCGCTTGGTCATAGCTGCAATGGCAACTTTGAGCAAGCGATCATACTTGGCTTTGAAGCCAGGTCTGCCGGGTGTTAAACCAACTGGCTTCCGGATCTGCCAACCGTAATGCAGCCTGTTGGGTGTCATGCCGGTGGCGGAGTGGACGGAGTTGTTGTATAACCCCTTAATGGAATACAGCTCGTCATCCCATGTATCCTGATCCTGGATAATCAAAGCGCGAAGAAGTTGAAACACAGTCTGTATAATGACCCGTCAAAACACAGACTGAGAACACTGCTGATTTCTGAAATTCTGCCGATGGAATGGATGCCTTGCTGAGATTCCCGCATTCTGCTGTGTTTTCTAAGTCTGTCTGTGTGTGCGTGCTTGTGACCTGTGTGCCTGTCTGAGTGCTTGTCGGTATGAGTGTGTGTGTGACCCGCAAGGGAACTTGCTTGTTTGGCAGGCCCGTAGGGCCGGTACTTACCTGTGGCCGTGGCATTGAGGATTGTAGCAGGGAAAAACACTCAAGTGGCGAAGCTAGCGGCCCCGCGGCCGCTGGGGTAGCGGAAAAACACTCAAGTGGGCCGGTAGGCCGATACTGCACCCCACTGCAGTTGGCGTGAGGGGGTACTGGAGGCCGAGCAGAAAAAGACAAAGTTGGCATTTTTAGAGTCCAGTAGCGGTAGGGTAGGTCTAGGCCGGTACCAGTCCAACCAGTGTGAGTCTAGAGCCTGTACGGGTAATATCAGGGGATAATCAGGGTCTGCAATGATGTTTCCCTCCGAAACGGAGGAAGTACCGGTTGCTTGGAGAGGTCGAGCGGCCTGGAAGTCACCGCCCAGGAGGCAAGTAGGCCGCTATATCAAGAGGCAGGGCGGAGAGCCCAGCCTCATTCTTCAGTGTGCAAGTTTGGCGACACGCTGCTGGAGCGCTGGCTGGAGTGGCGCTGGGTACTACAGCGCTGCTGGGAGGAAGAAGTCGGGAGCTTCCACCTTGGCTATGGTGGAGCTCTACCGGTAGGAGGAGGAGGGAGAAGGGGACCAAGGAGGAGAGTGGTGAGGCACTTACCTGGCTATGGTAGACACCATCTTCATCTCCTTGCTAGGCGCTGCATCAGGAAGGCCCCAGTTGGGGTAGTGCCGCATCAAGGAAACTCGGGACAGAGTCAGGCATGGCGGCTGAGTGGGCAGCGGCATAGCTGCATGGTGATGACCTTGAAGTGGGGCAGCGGCATAGCTGCTTTGGGTTGTCCTTTGGACGGGAGGCTGAAGCCTCAGTAGTCCGCCATAGCCTCGGCCTGTATGTAGAGGAAGAAGAAGGGTGGCCATGGCTATGGTGGACCTCATGTTGTGCCTGCAGTAGAAGTGGGATTCGGACATTGATTCTGGTTCAGTCATTCAACATTATTATTGTTATTTTTTGTTTGAATAAGAAGGGAGGAGATAAGGAGGAAGGGATTGGTTGGCGAAGAAGAAGAGCCTTGACATTGGTCTATGCTGGAGTACATCATCATC